AAGAGGAAATTGGAAATGAAATAGGTGTGATCCAAATTTCAAAACAAATTTCTCAAGTTGAAAATGGCAGTAAAATTGGTCTGCTACTATGCTTGGGGAAACTATTTTCAAGAGATAATTATTTACATTCCCTCACAATACTGGACAAAGTTTTTTTGCATGACTTAACTGTTCAATTATATTTTTATTTGTACTTAGGTATTTTTAAGGACAACAGATTCAAAGTGTATTAATGGTGCCAACAGACACCTGGGTGGAAAAGAGATGTATACTTAAATGATGTTCTATTTACCACCTTAGGAAGCTATGCATATAAGTCACAGTGCACTGGTCTACTGTCACTATGTATTTATTTCTAAAATGGAAAGTTCTAACATTTATACCTGATCAATAGTTATGGAATTACAACCCAGACCTCCTTCCACCTTGACTGTACTGGAATTAGCTGAGTGGGAAGAAAGCAAATCTGTCTTTGCACAAAGGTATCCTTTAGTAAGGTTGTCACCTTTTCTTCAGGCCAAATGCGCATTCAATAGCTGCATGTCAAGCAATAGCTCATGTCAGCAAGTAAAGCTTTTCATATTATTGCATTTCAAGCTAAGGAAGACAACTTACTGAACTTCTTCTTCAGTGTCTCCCCTCTCCCTTGAATCAGAGGAAATGAGCATGTACTGGAGTGGGATGGGGGAAAATTAGGCAACCCTCATTTTTGAGTTATTTGTCATTTTGAAAATTGAAATGCACTATTGGAAACACTGACTGATTCAAGAGAACACATGATATCGAAAAGAACGTTTGATATTGTCTGGGCTGGGCTGGAATCTGTATGAAGGCGCTTCATGATTTCCCATCTTCATTTTATGCATAGCCCAGTACAGCTCCAACACATGCCAAAGTTTGCTCCTCTTTGAGTGTCTTCCCCTCTTCCCCTCTAGGCTCTCAGACACCCTATGACCAAAGTTGGATCGGAAAAATGCTCTACCAACCAGCCTCTCTATCTCTCTCTCCAACCCTTATGCCATGGTTGACATTCATTCCACATTTGTTTGGAAAACATATGGTCTTTTCCACGTGGTTGACTGCCTTCCTAGATTTTGAGCAAATTGATACTCTGATAATCCATAAAGAGACCGGCAAATTAGAAGGTGGCCAATGCTGAATGGAACTAGTTTAGGCTGTTCATTTCCATCAAGTAATAGATGCATTAAATGAATCTATTGACCCTAAAGCAATGGGGCTATAGTCAGGACAGGAGGGTTGCCGTCCTAACTTCCCTCTCTTCCTCTCACATGTATCCTAGAGTCCATCTACACTGCAGAATCAATGCAGTTGGACACCAATTGAACTGCCATGGATTAATGCTATGAAATCATGGGAGATGTAGTCTCACAAGATCTTTAGCCTTCTCTTCAAAAGTATGTTGGTGCCTCACCAAACTACACCTCTCATGATTCCATAACATTCAGCCAGGGCAGTTAAATTTATGTAAAAGTGCATTAATTCTATTGCATAGGTGCACTCTTGGTGAAGAAGAAGCATACATTATGACAGACCTTTATTTGTGCTATTTCACAGTCTTCATAAGAACCTCATCCATTCCAGAGCAACTTTACCTAAGTTGTCCACACCTAAATTATATATACATGAATGAGAATTTCCACTCAGAAACATTTTCCCTGGGAAGAAGAAAAAATAATTATTTCAGAATTGGTAATGTTTCATATTACCATCAAATGACAGAACTTCTCAATTGCATCTGACCCATATAAGTTATAGACTGAGGCAGAAGAGAAGTGGCAGAGTGCTGGATAAGCTGAAAGGGCAGCATTTCAACTATGGGGAAGCCTCATTTTTAACACATGAGGCTTCCCCATTTTTAACATCTACTCACAATATCCAAAAGCAACTAGAAATTTAGGAGACCCTCATATGCTAGTCTAGAAACTAACTCTAATATGTTTGTGTTTTATTCATAGAGAAAATATTTAGAAAAGACAATCACCACTGAAGTAGTATATAGGCAAGGTCTTAAAATTGTAAAAATGCACCAGTTAGTCTGACTGGTCCAGCTCAACAAAAGATTGCCATGATCCTTCAGTGTATGTGATATTTTTCTTAGTTCATTTATGTTCTTTAATAGCATTCTATCACATAAAAAATAACACTTGTGCTGCACTATTTTTCCTTGCCAGAAAAGCCTTTGCTTACTAAATATCTTTATGGCAGACTATTGCTAAAAGTGCAGAAGAAAGGCCTGTAAAAAAAAGAAAAGAGCAAGGCTAAAAAAATGGCTACCCAATTTGCAGGTCATGTGAGAGCATGAAGCTAGGGCAGCTTGTTGTGGCTGCTCTGCTTACAAATAGTATAGGACCTTCCTATTTCTATTTTAAGCCTTTCACATCCTGATTAGCAACACCCAACACCTTTTTTTCCATTGGGAAATTGCATCCTGTAATGCTCTCACCCAAGGCATTTGTATGTTATAGAGTAAGACCACAGTCTAAACGTTGGGTGGTTTCAGTCATGCAAGGCATAATACTTAACACAAGGGAGCTATTGATTAAGAAACCTTTTTATACAATGTATGTGTTTCTTTGCAGCCATAATAAAAAGGACACAAAACATGGGTTCATGCCATAGGTAAATGGGCAGGGGCTTTATCCCTGACAAAACGTTTTCCTTGCTTTGGAGAAGGATTTGAGGGTGGGAAACTAAAAGGAGGGAAGTCCCATTACATTTGTAGAGATATCAGCTCAGGTAACAACCAATTTTGCCCCAGTAAGTCTATGTTCATGAGACTAAATACCCTAAGGGCAACAGATACTGCCAATCCTTGGAAACAAAACAGGGTCATCCCTGGTTAGTACTTTAATGAGAGACCACCAATGAATACCAGGTGCTGTAGGCTATTTCAGAGGAAGGAACAGGCTGAATTGCCTCCAGGTATTTCTAACCTATGAAAACCCTATGAAATGCATTTGGTCACCACAAGTCTATAGGTGACCTGAAGTCACATACAAAGTCTCTGTCCAAAGCTGTGCTTACCTAAAACCTGTTCATTTTGAGAAAAGTCCTCAACATGTAAAATGGAAGGCAATGTTGGAAGGGAAGAAAGGCTCATGCTTCCTATCATTTCTTTCAATGTGCCTGATGCACCCCTCTGATGAAGGGAGTGAGGCAAGCGGTAAAATGTGAAGAAAAAAGTTTAAATAGTTGTGGGTTATTACACTGGATCTACCTCTGTAATCCTCTGAAGGCCTGACTGATGACACACAAATGCACCAAACAAAAATGGCAGTAAAAGTACCATAGATTGACTTGTGGTTTGGGAAAACAGGAAAGGATTTTTAAAAAATGTTAAACAGATGGCCTTTAAATCTGTTTAAAGGGCAAATTACTACTTCTGGATCTTTCCAGGAGACAATTCACCCCCATCTCATACAAAAAAAGAACAAAGTGTGGAGTCTAAATGGATGGAGGGCCACAAAAACAGCCTTTCAAGGTTGCATGAAACTTCAGGGCCACGCTTCACCCATACCTGGGATAGGGCAGTGGTTCTCAACCTGTGGTCCTCAGATGTTTTGGCCTTCAACTCCCAGAAATCCTAATAGCTGGTAAACTAGTTGGGATTTCTGAGAGTTGTAGGCCAAAACACATGGGGACTCACAGCTTGAGAACCACTGGGTTAGGGGCATGATACCACTTTTTATACATTTAAATGGGGTCTTCATTTAGGCTTGCCACTTATATATGATGGTGAGTGGAGAACAACCATAAGGGGACTCACTTTTCCATTTCCCACTTTCGCTTCTGTTGAGCAAGTCAAAATCCCATTCATTTCACCAATAGGGACACAGGTTAGATTTAACTGTTGTCTGAAATTCAGAGATACCCACAGGGCAAAATGTATTTTGGACCATTTTAGAAGTAATGAATGTGGCAGAAAGCTGTATCTTAAAATATTCATTGTTGTTCTTAGTCAAATCTTTTAACACACCTTGTTTTTCTCAGCGAAGAAAAGAGTGGGGCGGGGGAGGCACAATCCAACCAAACATCATCCTCAGCTCCACAGGATTTTAATTAGTCCATCAAGCAAATGTTTAACAATATTTCCCATTTCACATTAATAGGACTCTCAAGAGCAGTTAACTTTGGTTCGAATATGCCCTAGATATGCATGACAGAAATATAGCAAACCATATAAACATCCACAAACAGTGCAGATGTGAAAAAAATCCCAACAATTTCTAAACTAAAAAAGACATGTAATAGTATATGTGTTCAAGGTGATTGCCATTCAAATAATGTTATCCTCTTCTCCTTAGGTGTGTTCCTGGCAGGGAAAATCATTATCTCGGCCCAAACTATACCAACTTTAGTAATTAAACAAAATATCCCTGATGGAAAAGAAAGTGTCAAAGAGGCAGACTTTTTTTTATGCAGTAAAAAAAAACCCAGCACTATAGTCCCTTGTGGGAATCAGAGTCCTTTACAATTTCAGTATCCCAATAAGACTTTCTTATTCTTTTCCTCTGTACCCATATCCCTTATTCACATTTCAAGGTAATAGCCTCTATGAACAGAGCAAAATGCACATAAATAAAATACACACTTGAAGGTTTTTTGTATATATAAATTCTGAGCTAAAACTCATCACAAGCTTAATTTTTCACTGCTATCCATCCAAACATGTTAATCCTTGATTGCATTAAGAAGAGAAGATTTGTTTAATGCCAATGGATTCCTATAAACAAATATCTGCTTTCCCATCCTGAAGCTAGAAATGCTGTACAGTGTCATAAGCTTAGGACGCCTTCTATCTATACATCAGCATACGATTGATAGTACAATTCATAGAGGGCTCAGTTAACACTAGCAAACACAGAAAGAAGGAAAAACGCAACCACGCAGCAGAGCACACAGTTCTTGTGGGATATACAACTGAGTGCATAAATATCAGTGGCTGGCAATTTTTTTGAAAAAAGGAGACAGGCTCTTACCTTCAATTTTTATTTATTAAGTTTCCCCCAGAAGCACAGCAAATGCCTGTCCAAATCTGCTGTAGTTGCTGAGGAGTTGCTGGAGTCTCTTAAGAGTGGGAGAAGGGGATGCAGCTCTGTCCTTATTAGTCTCACACAGCATGACCCTCCCACTCGGCAAGCACAAGGAGAATACAACTGGGAGACAGGGCAGCCCCCAGCTCTGGCACTCTTTTATTTTATTTTAATTTAATTTTTTTGCAAAATAAATAAATAATATGTTAATAGGCTGCAAATCTGGTAATAATATTAAAAGGGTTAGGTATGGATTGCCTAAAGCTGTGTCACAGATAAGAGGAGCCTGAGTTTGACTGCATGAATGAAAAGGGTGTCTGGTTTCAACGTGCTGGCTCTGAAGTACTGTATATGATCCTAGCACAACAGCAGGGGAGCAGATTCTCTCTTCATTCGCTCCCCCCCCCCTTCCCAACCTTGCACGTTATGTGTAGCCACATCTCATTAATTTTATATACTTTATCATACATTTACAAGCAACCAACCATGGGAATGCACCTATTTATGGCATGGGTGCTGCGGAGAACGGTGGATGGCGGGTGTTTGGTTTTCCTTTTTAAAGCTCGTCACATAAAGCTGGGGTGTTCTTACGCTGCAATATCAGCTGTCTGTGATAAAAATTGTGTGACACTCAGCCTTCCTGCTAATTCTCCCTTGAATATGCTAAACTGTGCTAGCTGGCTGGTTGGCTGGCTTGGGCCCTCCAGAGTGTTCTTCTGACAGCTTCCAGTGTTGTCTTTCCGCATTTAACTACAGGATAAAAGGAGAGCAAGGAGAATGAAATGATTGCAGCACATACCTAGAAAAAAGAGAGGGCAAGAACTTGCCACACATCATTTATATGTATTTAAGTAATAGTTTCCCTCTGATCCAATACCCCACCCTCATCCAAGTTCCAACCCTTTTAAAACTCCTTTAAAGTTTGGACTAGAACCCATTAAGGTGTCACCAGGTTGCAGACACTGTGCTGCGAGCCACTATCTGTACACCAATGATGGCTGGTTGCACTATGTCTGTGAGATAATAAATCTGTTCTGGGTTCTAGAACAAACTTTCAAGGAGCTAGGTTATTGTGTGGTTGTTTGAACAGCTCCCTTAAAGTTTGCACTGCAACTCAGGGCAGATGCACAGACTTCCCTAATATGGCAGCCACCTCCCTGGACGGTTCAAGTAGTGGAATTTAATACCACAATATGCAGCAATAGTCATTATTGCAGACAGCTTTAAAGAAGGATTACATAAAGTTATGGAAAACAGCTCAATCAATAGCAGTCGATTTTGCTGAAATACACACTCTTTCTGAATACCAGATGCTGGGAGTCTGCAATGCAGGAGGGCTTTCACCTTCATGCTCTGTCTGTAGACTTCTCAATGGCATCTTGCTGGGCACTGTATGAAAAAGGATGCTGATCTAGATGGGATTAGACAACCCAGGAGGAGACTAATCCCCCTTTATATACATGAGGGTAATAGGGGAGACAGACTAAAGGTACATGCCAGTATGGTGTATTTGGCTGCTGGACTAAAAGTCCAGGATTTGAATCCTTATTCAGCCATTGAAATGTGCTGGGTGAGCTTAGGCAAGTCCCATTCTCCCAGTCTTAGAAGAAGAGAATGTCAAACCTACTGTGAATAACATCCCGAAAGGCATATAAAAACAAAACAAAAAAAAAAATAAGAAGAGGCTGGAGGCTAAACTGATCAGCCAATCTTGGAGACCATTTGCTTCTATATTTGTTTGTTTGGCACACACCCATCTTCAGCTGTGAAAGCTTCAAGAGCAGCTTGCATAAGAAAACCTTTTTGAAAGAAAAAAAACCCCAGGTTTATTATCTGAGTCACAAAAAAAGGGAAATGACAATGGAAGAAGGATACAAACAACCTTGAGTACCAATTTTAAAAGGTAAAGAAGTTTGACACAGAAGAATCCAAAAGCACTGGTCTCTCAATCCATCTGATGGAATGATCTGGACTTCCAGTGTCTTTTGCTGTAACTTGATGGTATAGTTGCTACTTATGTGTACAGAATGAGTCCAATCCATCAAAAGAATTACAGACATAATAATGGCAATGACCACAACTTTATTGGTTACAACTGACAATAGACTTAGGGCCTGGATTTCAGCATAGGTCATCTGTTGATAAATAGGCCAGTTAAACTGGACTGAAGTTAGAGACCCATGGGATGACTTTGGGAGAGGCCATGTGGCATGCTACCAGCAGGTCTTCTCTATCCAAGGTGTCATGGATAGTGTGGATGAGGGTTTGACTGAGTCCGGTATGGAACAGCAGCTCCCTCAGCCACACCAGAGGTAACAACTAGTCAGCCTACTGGCCAAACTTAAGAGGCTTCTGTGGAGAAGGCTGAGGAAGAGTTAGTTGTGCTTTCCTTTGCGGAACATAGAAGGAAAAAATCCCAGCTGAGGTGTTCAGCCAAAATCCTTGGGAGGTGGCCAGCAATTGGTATGAGCTGAGAAAGCAACATTTAAGAGGTTGATGCTTGATTGCTAGCTGCAATGTTTGTAACCAAGCCTTGGACCATGTGCTTTAGAGACCAGTGGATGCTGTTGGAACCTGGGATGGTTTCATGACTTTGGCATTGGATTGTGGACACAGTTTTGTCATGTGAAGGTTTGGTAATTGGATTGACCCATGAGTGTTTTGTAGCTTCTCTGTTGCTTGTTTCCTTTGAAGTTTGTTGTTACTGAGAACTAATTGTCCGAACTTAGACTGTATGACTCTACTGCTGGTTATTTCAGGGTGAGGTACTTGCCACAAGAGATGCGGATGAGGTGATTGCCCATCCACTGGTACAGACCCACTTAGAGTGCACTCCTCAAGTCACCTGTAGCAGACCCTCTTTCCAGTGAGAAGTGCTGTACTGACACTGATTCTCCCAATTCCAAATCCAGCAACCCCCCCTCCCCCCAATGTTGGAACAAAGATGGAGCACAAAACTTCATTCAAAATATGACACTAAAGAGTGGGTGGGTGGATCGCAGTCTGGAGGACAACTGCCTGAAGGAGCTCACCTTGATTGAATACCTAGTCTTCACTCTGGTTGGCTTCAATCAACTAACAAGTTTGAACCATGAAGTTCGAACATATTAGTTGTTGAAACCGCCCTCCCTCCTCAAGCACCCCCAAGTCTGGAGCATGCTAGTAGAGGGAGATCTGGCAGCCATGACTCTGCTCCCATCTGTCCCGCAACTGTCACGTTCTGTAAATCAGATATTTGATAAGAATTGGTGGGGGGGGGGGGCAGGCAGGCAGCGATGGATGGATGGATATATATGATGGAACTGGTTTCTGAACATAGTTTATAGAGACAGATATAATCTGTAGAGGAATGTGATCAATCATTTCTCTTTAAACCTTGCCTTGTCCTGTAATGATCCTTCTCTCAGAATCACATTTCAGAGTTGCCCCCAGACTGTGGAACTCCCTGCCAAGGACCACCTCTCTGCTTGTTCTCCTCTTTCAGTAGCTTGTAGTGTTTAAACTGTATTGCTATATGAAAACACTTTTAATTCAGGATGATAATGTTGTTTTTCTTTTGTTTGTAATTTCTTTTTAGAGTTGTTTTGTTTTTTAAAATAACATGATTAATGTTTTAGCTGTCTTTCATTCAATTTCTTCACTGCCTTGTTCCTTTTAGTTGCTTCTGGCAGGCATAAGACAATGAAGAAAGTGACACTCTGGCCCATCTCCAGTTCGGATATCAGCCTGCATGCCAATGTCTTAAATCAAGAAATAGTTTTCTAAGATCTACAGAGATACTAGCAGGAACACCTCAGCATGTGAG